AATAATATTTACAGCCCAGTTATGTAAACAATCTTTCTATACTATATACATTGTATCATAATAATATAAAAGAACGGAATGAGAGTCTCGTTCTGATAGCAAAGAAAACATTCTTTCTGGGTCGGCATTTGAATTTGGAAGTGATCTAACAGCATTCAAAAGAGACTTCATATTGGGATATGTACGTTTTAAAATTTTTTTTCACATCTCATCAAAGTTTAATTTTAAAAGATGTTCTTTTTCTGCTGTTGTAAAATCTAGATGGAAAGTATGCCACTCTTTTTTTAAAGCATTTTCGTCAAAGCCACCGAGGGTTTGAGCAATAAAAGAAACATCATTAAATGATGTTTCTCTGTCAATACTACATAATGCTGTGTTGAATTGGAAAACTGTTAATTTACATAAAAATTTATCTTTAATGGGCAATCTTTTACTAATTTCCTCGGCAGCAATCACGTAAAATTGTAGACAATTATCTCGAACATTTCCAATTATGTCTGCGCGTCCCTTTTTCATTAAACTTTCGAGATATTCTTCACATTCATATCCTAAATTTATATCATTTAAAGATTTATGGTTTTCTTTTTCAGAAAATTTAAAATCATTACATACATTTTTTACAAGCTCTGGTTTCAAAAAATGTTTGGAAATTCTTATTAAAAGTTCCAATGACTTTGGCTGCAACAAGTGAACTCTTGTTTCCACAACTTGAAAAAATGCATTAAAAGAATTAAAAAAATTTAAAATATGCTTTAAAAATAACAAATATGCTTTTACATCCGGATTTTCCATCACAGATAATAAATTGTCTCCTGATTTAGTTTTTTCACTTATAACCATTTCAGTCAAAAAAAGCTTCGTAGTATCCCAAAAATCAAGAAGTCTCACAACACATGAATGGTGAGATAGCCATCGTGTAGTAGATAATTTTAAAATTTTACGGTTTGTTTCCTGAAAACATTCAGTAAATTCTTCATAAATAGCAGCACGCTTAGGACTACTATTAATATAATTTGCTATCTTTTTTAAAAACTCCTCGCAATATTCCGGTATTTTAGCACATGCAGCATGTGCAGCTAATGCCGCGGAATGGCATGGACATGGAAATGTTAATAAATTTGTACAAAATTCTTCTAACTTTTTTTTAAATGAGAGATGTTTACCTGTCATGACAGATGCATTGTCGCATGACAAGGCAACAATATTTCCAAATGAAATGTTTAATTTCC